TAAGTATAATCTTAGGGCATCACCGATATTAACCACCGAATACTGAAATTACTTTACTGTGACTTCATTAGGAGCAAACTTGTGTTTCAGCCTTCTTCAGGTTTCCTATGTAAGATCAACCAGGAATTTTCTTTAGTGTTTTACCCTTCATTATGTTTCCAGTGCTCCCGTCTGTCTTTCAGACTTTTGTGTGTTTGTGGCTCTGCACACCTCTCTGCAGTAGCTCATCACTGCTCTCAGTCAGCTCACCTGCCTCACATCAGCTCGTCACTGTGGACCACTTCAACTTTAACTCCACACACTCAGCACCAGATCTTTCCTCCAAATCATTCATCCAACTATAACAGACAGAGATTCCACGTCTCTGACCACTTGATTTATGAGCTCAATAAACAGTTTCCTGATGAGTTTCTGGTCTCAGTCTCTAGTTTCAGTCTTCTTCCATACATACCTTGTGATGGACAGCTCATTCTCAGTGAGTCCGTCCAGCTCAACGCACCAAACTCAGATCAAACTGTCAAACAGTGCTGATCAGATATGGATCCAGATTCTGTTGTTGACTATTTCTCTCCTCAAATCTGTTCACAAACACATTTCACTGTTTATCTGGAATACCAGATCCTGTGCGAACAGACGAGCCGCCATTGTTTCCTGATACGGACGAGTTGAAACTGAGCAGCCAATGAGAGCAGCTCAACTCGCAGTACGTGACCTCCGCTGGCTCCAACAAACTGTCATGGCGACATTTCAACGCCAAACTCGAGGCTTCAAAATGGTTCTCCAGAAACCGGTTTAGACTTGGTTCAACTACAGTGCCATCAGATTTCCAGTGTTCTCTACTTATTTTGTGATTTATTGTTTGTGTATCTCCTCAAGTGTCTAACATCGCCGGCCTTTAAGTCTGTTAAACTTGATCTGCCTCCTTGTCTGTGTTCTGCACTTGAGTCCACATCTTAACTAAAGCGTTACAGAAACATCAACCTTGTGCCGCAAGAAGAACGAACGCAGAGTATACAAACCAAAACACTTTAAAATAAACAATAATATCCACCTTTATAGTCAATAGTGGTAAACAACATCTAGTGTCCTTGTCTGTGTTGTGCACTTGGGTCCACCACTAAAATGTAACAGAAACATCCACCTTGTGCCGCAAGTAGAATGAATGCAACATTAAACTGTATGATAAATAGTATTCTAATAATATCCACTTATATAGTTAATATTATGAAATAACACCCAGATTAAAATCACACTGTGAGGTTCAAACACCTCATGTTTGTCAACATGTTATTTTGGAGGTAAACAGCTGATCCAGTGTGCAGAGTTTACCCACCCTGGCTGTAAATGGTCCATTAATCTAAATCTCTCGGTGTTTATTGGTCTCCGTTAGCTAAATGAGTGTAGACTTCTCCTCCCTCTTTGGGCTGTAAAATGAAAAGAGAATGGCGTTAGAAAGAGAGACTTGCTGATTGGCAGCGGCGCCCTGTGTGGCCTTGGCCGAGTGGAGGGAGGTGGGGAGGTGGGTTTCTCTGTCAGAGGGGAGTTTTATGAGCCCCTGTAATCACCAGGTGTTAAACTCAACAATTAGGAGCTGCTATTTTGTCGGTGGTTTATGGCGAGAGGCGAGCTTAGTCGGCAGGCGGGGGGGGGGGTCTGAGCCAGAGTGTGGAGGAAACTCAATGTGTTAATCATCATATTAACAATCGTTAGATCAGTCAGATTCTGCACAATTCAACCCTTCAGCTTATTTAACTGAAAGCAAAGCATCAAATGATCAGATTAATCATTCCTAATTGATCTGGCATTATAAAAGTAAACAGTTTGATATTTCTGTAAGTAAAAAGAGTCGATCAGGAGTTTCTTTGCAGCTAATTTAATTTAGAATTTAGTTAAAAAGAATTGGATTTTATTTAATTTCCTGCATCTGATTGAACGAATGTTGTCCTTGAGATTTCTTTTAAATTTGAGTTGCTTGAAGCTGAAACTGAAACTTTAAACCTGTCAGACTAGATAGAAATTTAGTGCTGGAAACTTCAGAAAAACCGTTGAATTTCCCTAAATCTTTCTCTCTTTTAGGGGAAGTTCAGGTTGAAAACCGCTGTGAGTTGCTGCGTGTTGTTACAATTCAACAACATTGGCTAAAACTACAGACTGCTGGGTGACAGCAACAGAGTTCAACTTCTATACTAGAGTCCTGTTGATTGAGACCAGTGCGCATTGAAATTAATGAGGAAGCTTTTAGTACAAACTGTCTCTACTCAATAAAAGTAAAACAGTACAGGCTCTGAAATAAAGTATAAAAATTAAGGAACTTGGATGTTATTTGACTAAAAACTGCATTTATAGACTATTATCATCACAATATTTATAAAAACAACAACAACACATGTTGCAGTTTTTCACATTATTCTCAACAACAGCAAAATGTGGTAAAACTAGTCGCTGCACCTTGAATATAATATGATTATTATGATTAATGAGGCTTTTTTTGGTGGTGCTGCCTTCAAATTTGGTGTAATAATTCGCCTTATATGCTTTTAAACTAAAGTAACAAGCCTGTTTTTAAGATACAAGGAGTAAAAAATACAGAGATTTATGTAAAAATACCTGAAAAACTAAACTTAAATTATTTGTACTTAGGTTACTTCCCGCCACATGAACATGAACTCTTCACACACAGTATTACAGGTGTACCTCTCTGGGGCCACTCGGGCCTCGGAGGCGGGAATGTTGTGTAATTAGATGTGTCGTTGCGCCCGGAGACGATCACATGCAGCAGCTCATCGACTTCCAGTGGCCTCCTCTGACCTTCCTCGCCTCACCTGGCTTCACGGTCTCTCAGGTACGCTCACAATATCACAGGATTTCATTTTAAAGTTGTTAATTTATTAGCCAAAACAACACACAGTAAAGTTTAAAATAATATTTGTACTGTTGTTAAATAACCAAAATAAACAAATATAAATACAAATACAATAATATGCCAAATTATTACTTAAGATTTCTAATTCTTGTGTTGTACAATATCACCATTCAAAATCTCATTGGGAAAAAAATAATATACATTTCAAATTAAGACACCTTTTAAACTAAAGGTTAAAGACAGAAATGTGTATAAATCAATTGTTTATACAAACAAATTTAAAATAAATACATTCAGGGCTAAAATCTAAAGGTTAACACATACAATATACAATATAAATACATTCAGCTCACTTACTGCTAGCTGCCTTAAATTGGCAGTTTTCCTATGGGAGTTTTGTATTGCGGCTACCACAAAGCTAGCAGGAGTGAAGTAACATTTACACTAAAGATCTGTTCAATCTGAATTAAGGTAAGTTAAAGTTGTCCTGGATCATTTCTACCATCAGTCACTGTCTTCGGGTATGTTGAAAATGCGGAGCAAAGGTTTCCTCCCACTGACCTCCGCTTATCTAACCTTCCTCACCCCGACCGACCCGCCCCGAACCCTCCTCACCTGATCTGCCTCCCTCAGGTGACGCCGCTCACACACCTGTCTGCCACAGGGAGATAAAATCACCTCAAGAAACAGATCGCCCTTCCTGATCTCTCACATTCAGGATGTAAAGCTAACACCTGTGGAGGTTGTGTTTAAGATTAATGTTTCCGTGGTTTCTTTTCTCAGTACGAGAGAGTCAGAGTTACACTGTAGTGAAATAGTCCTTTTTATTGCTAATTCAGAGCATTTTCTACCATTTTAGGGAAAAACAGTGTAGTCCCATGGGCCCAGAGATTCAAATTTCTTAAAAATCCCGACAGTGACTGTAATAAAAATGAGATTTTTCAAAAAAAAATTCTAAAAATAAATAAAATTGCCCAAAATATGTCGTTACCAAATTTAAAGACTTAAGACTAATCAGAACAAATGTTTCCTAATCGTACTAAATATAGTCTTTGGGTGCAAATGGAATTAAATTGCGATCTTTTGCTTACAGGTGAAGTGAACGCTGGGGCTCTAGATACAGTTAGCCAGCCTACAACTGTCCTCTGACCCTTCAGTCCTGCTCGCTCTCTTCCTCTCAGGGCATTTAAGAAATGCATCAGAAATCTGCAAATGACAGTGACTTTAGGGGGCGTGGCCTCGATTAATTAACTGCTTAACAGGAGCAGCGAACTATTAGCCAAGAGTATCAGAGTCCACGCTGGAAACACGGAGAGTCCGACGAAGCTTTTACAGTCACTAGAAGCACATTCACGCTGTTTGTAAAAGATTATGTGTGCTACCTGTTTGTAGCTGAGCCAGCAGCTCATAGAGGCTAACTCTCTGGTATTTGTGTGTCAGTGAGGGATCAAGGTAAAGATTGAAGTCGGTGCTTCTACAGCGTCTAAAGTCGGAACCACTGCAGCAGAATATAAACTAGAGTAGAGGGTTAGCAACAGCTAGCATAACCTCCTGTGAGTGATGCATCTCCATCATTATTCATTCATACAGACTCAGAGCGGAGGATGGTTAGACGGCGTGAAGTGACATAAAGTCGTCTCAAACTGTCGACTCTCTCTCAGTATTTGTCTTAAAATGTACAGGCTGATTTATAACATTAGAGGGCGAGTTGAGACATTTTTTAACTACACAATGCAGATTTTAATACATTTGGTAATAGTGTCGATTTTAACACTAACATTAATGTGTTAATGTGTTTCAACACAGTAAAGTTATATAATTTAGTTTACCGCTCGAAAAACACACTTTAGGGCGTATTACCTCTATAACATGTTTTATCTTCTTTTTTTTAATCCTTTAAATGCCTTGTCTTTTGCTAAGAGATGTCTGCTGGATACCTACAGCGTCATGTATTGTATTAGAGGACCTGGGAGTGAGACCAGGTTGGACAGAAACTAAAAGAAGAAGTACTAAAGGAGGAGGAAACTGATACCAAACTTTACACACACACTGTCTGTTAAATCCAGGTAACTCCAAACCAACCCGCAACGCAACCAGACGTGTAAAAGACGGCGCGATCGGGGCAGAGTGGCTCAGTTCGGTATGGAAGCACTTTGAGCTCTTGGCCTGAGTGGTGAACCGTGTAGTTTCGTGGTGCCACACGTCTTTCCTGTGTTGGTTTATGGATGTGTGGCGACATAAGTGATTCCAGGCCTGTGTGGTAGCGCCGTGACGCAGATGCAGCCAAAGAAAACTGTTCAGGCAGACGTGTGGAGGGAAGCACTGGAGCTGAGGATCTCAGACTGAAAGTGAGAACGTTGGTGTTTAAACAGGGACACCGTGTGAGTGTGCACACTTTTTAAAACCTCAAAATATTTGTTCTTGTGTGTTTTCTTCAGTGGCTGAATTCTGGTCCGATTTACTGAGTGATACAACCGTAGAGGAGGAATAATAAGAAACGGCCTTTTGCTGCTTAATTGCCATTGTGTGTGTGTGTGTGTGTGTGTGTGTGTGTGGATGTTCGTGCATTTACAAGAGCAACCCACGCTCTTCTTTTTTTCCACTGAATTGCAGTCATTATGTCCATTAATTACCTGTGAAATGGCTCTCAGGCAGAGGCAGCCCTGCTGCATTCAGGCTGCCAGCAGGCGATTTGGGTTGGCATCGAGCCACCGGGCCAAATATCCAGGGCAACGCACGCATACAGGTTCAGATTTTATATTTCAGCCCATTAGCACATAAACCACATTGATTTATTGTGACTGCAAGAGGGGGAAACCCCCGTCTGTTGACAGGACAGCTCAGATTATGCATCATGAAACAGAAAGCTAAGAGAAGAAACGAGCTGCTGATTATCCCTCAAAGTACTAAGAGGATTATTCTGGTTAATCACAAGTTTTGGCTACGATTTCTACCGGTTACAACACCAGAATAACTGAGACCTGGGCAGTGGTGCAACGTAACTAAGTACATTTACTCCAATACTGTATATAAAGATTTATATACAAGATTCACTTGGCACACAAGCACCATAATCTCAGACTAAAACAAACACTACGACCCCACCAGACTCCATTGACAAAACAGCTAATTGTACCAAACATATTCAAACTTCTTCAAACTGGAGAGAAACTAAATAAAACTCAACAAGACTGTATGTATTAGTGTTTCCAACAATAAACAACAGTGGTTTAATCAAGATAAACCTTTAATTCACTGAATTAGATGTGAAAATAGCTACAAAACAGGCTGTTACATAACATTAGGGACTGCGCCTGTCTACTGACAGTAGTTGTTGTTTGTTCCACTAACAGTAGTAGTTTCTGCCACTGACAGGCTCAGGTTGTTATTGTCAGTGTATGACAGCAAAACATTTCCCCTAAAATAACATATTAACATATGTCTCTTATTTTATCTTTATTTATATTTGCACCAGTTTACCTTGTAAAATGCGCTCCAACATTGTTAACTACCATAAATAGGAGCTTTAATTTGATGTTTTGAAATCTATTTAAAATCTTATTCTATACTTTGTAAACATTCAGCAACATATAACGTATAAATGATTTGTAGTTACTCGTATTAAAACATGGACACGTGTGTAACTCAGCCCCAGTTTGGTTAAAACCACCTTAATTGACTCAGTCATGAACAAACAAACACACACACAAGTGTTGACTCGTTTATAGCATCAGCCAACAGTACTCAGAGCACACGGAGAAACACTGCAGCTGCACTATCACACACACACACACACACACACACAAAAGATTCATAATAATTCATTAATTATTAAAAAATATCCTCTTTATTGTCTTATGAAGTAAATCTATACTTTCTCGTCGTTAAAGATTTAAAAAATGGTTAAAATTTGCTCCAAAACACAAACACAGCTTTAAATGTTAAATATCTCCATTGACTGTATATATAATGGACAGAACCTGCATTCTGTGTAACGACCAGCAGGGGGCGGCTCCACTGGTTGCAATAACACACTGTTACCATTCAGTCTTATGGAGAAATGATCCGACTTCTCAGTTGATGTATGAGCTCAGTAAACAGTTTCCTGATGAGTTTCTGGTCTCAGTCTCTAGTTTCAGTCTTCTTCCATACAGCATGATGTTCATTTAGTAACTGATGGTCCCATTTAGAGTAAAACAGACCATAAAGCAGGGTATGCTTTAGGGCGGGGCTACCTTGTGATTGACAGCTCATTCTCAGTGAGTCCGTCCAGCTCAACACACCAAACTCAGATCAAACTGTCAAACAGTGCTGATCAGATATGGATCCAGATTCTGTTGTTGACTAGTTCTCTCTTTAATGAACTGTGTGACCACGCAAGCCGCCATTACGACCTCTGCTCAAACTGTCGTGATGACGACCATAACGCCAAACTGGAGGCTTCAAAACGGGACTCCACAAACCGATGGGTTTTTTTCAATTCCATGTTATTTGTATAGCGCCAATTCATAACAGAAGTTATCTCAGGACACTTTTCAAACAGAGCAGGTCTGGACCGTACAGAGACCCAACAGTAACCACCATGAGCAAGCACTTGGCGACGGCGGCAGGAAAAACTTCCTTTTAAGAGGCAGGATATTATTATATTATTAAATTATATATAATAGGGTTTAACTTAATCTATAACTTTATATATGACGTATTTTGATCTGATATAGTTCTTAAAGTTCATTTAACGTAGACATTTTTTATTTGTTTTTTATTTCTATAAAAGAGACATTGATTACCTTCAAATACATATATTTCATATAATACTGGCAAATACTAAGTATTTTTTTATCTTTATGGCAAAAAAATAGAAGACAAATGTCTAATTTCAGCATTACGTCACAGACAATAATCGACCGGTTCGTGGTACATTTAAGTCTGAATACCAAAGTTGTCGCATCTATAACGATAAAACCGATTCCCGACTCGTATCTGTGAATCTTTACACCCTGAAGTTCAGTTAAAATAAGAGTAAATTAACTCCAGTATCCGTAGATGTGGCGTCATAACTCACACGATATGATTCACTGTCCTGCATTTACATCATAATGGTGGAGCGCTGTAGAGAGGACGGGCCCCTCCCAGCATGCACTGCAGCGAGGCCCCCAGCGGCATGCACCCTCTCGGTGAAAGAGCAGCCAGGTGGAGAGGCCCATTCACTGCAAACTGACCTTGACAGAGTTTGATTGAATCTCGCTTCCTCTACCTCCCTCGCAGACGGCAGGAGTTTCTCCCCCCTTCCTCCCCTTCCTCCTCCTCCATGTTTCATTCTCCTCCTCTGACTGACGCCTCCCATCAATGTGCTTTTTGTTCACGCTGTCTTGAGAAGTTTCTGTCTCTCTCTGTCCATCTTGTTTATCTCCCCCCTCTCTCTACTTTCTCTCCCTCGGCAGGATGAAGATATTTGTCACGCTCCGCCGACTCCTCTTTCTCCCTCCCTGTATCCCTCTGTTTCCTGTCTGTCTCTCCGTCTTCCTCTCCCTCCTCAGAAAGATGAAGACGTCTGTTGCACACGACCGCTTCCTGTCTCACTCTTTAAGTCTTTAATCTCTCGTTGTGCTAAAGAAAAACATCGTTCTTAATACTGAGTTTAATTAGTCGATTTAAAATTTAAATTAAGTAACTTTTAAAAGGTGTTAAAAATATCATACAAGGCAGATTAATTTAGACTTTGTGGCTGTTTTGTGAGAAACAAACTAGTTCGTATGAAGTTTCTGTGACAAATAAAACAATCTAGTTTCACTTAAGTATTTCTGCTTTTTTCCAAACACTTTCCAACCACAACTTCCCAGATGGTTCTGTGTAACAACCCGTCTGTCGCAGTGAGGTTAGACTCAATTTGTCGACAGTTTGTTGAGATATTATTGGCACTGTGAGTTAAAACACTGTGAAAATGTTTATGTGGGAATGTTACTAAATTAAATAATCTACCAGAGACGAGTGGATGACATCGGTGTTTGTGTCCGATTAATGAGTAAGAGGTCAGTTTCAGACGGACGGTGGGAACGTTTGGGGTCTTTATGTGTCTGTTATCGCTCTGAGGGAGCCTGAACGTCTCACATTATCAGTCCTGAAATAGAGAACGATAAACAGCGCCGGGCCTCGTGGCTGCTCGCGGCGGTTACAGCTGATGTCATTGTGAAGCGTCTCTTCCAGAATAAATGTGCTACGTAATGGACGGACGGGATGGATGGATGGATGGCCACTTTCAGCCTTAGAAAACAAACTGAAGCTCCAAAACAAACATATATTTGCTTTTCTTGTATAGTTCACAGTACGTGTGAGCTTTGTGGGTCGGCTTTCAGGGTTCCTCCGGTTCCCTTTGGCTGGTTTTATGTTGAGATAATAACGTCTGAAGTCTCGTCGCTCCTCAGATGAGCTCAGTGAGTTTATTTACACCGATGGTAACAATGCTGCTGCAGACAGAAAAGTTTGATGTTCAGTTAAATATGCTTTTGCTTTCTTTTGGAGAATCACACTGATAGACTGATTCCACTCTCACGACTTTATGGTAAATATGAAGCTGGCTGACTTAGATTAGCTTAGCACAAAGACTGGAAACAGTTGGAAACAGCTAGCCTGGCTCTGTCCAACAAGCACCTCTAAAGCTCACTGATTAACACGTTATATCTGCGGACTGGGTTGGATTTTATACTTCTTCCCAACAGTGAGCAACACGACACAAGTCCAAAGTCAAAGCTAATATTGCAAAGCTTGTGGGATACAGTGATATTGTAGTGTTGGTCTGGTGTTGGCTGATGTGTAAACGTCCAAATAAAATAAAGAAACATTACAGATAGTAACGTTATTCTAAATATGATTGTCAGTTATTTTACAGCGTTCAGTCTAGTGTTTGTCACGCAGACTGCAGTTCACTGAACGACCACTGGTGGCGCTGTTAACAACGGTCTTCTGAGAGGAAAGAAGAAGACAGCAAAGTGAAAGTAGGAAGTAAACGTCCTGTCGACTGCAGCAGACAGTGAGGACAGACTGAGGCCTGCTGGCTGTTTAAATGCAGGAAATTACCCCAAACACTAAAACGTTTGTTCGCTGCGTCACCGAATCCAGTTTCCAAAGTTCAATTTTAAGACTATTTTTATTTTTAAATGTACAAACTGAATTGGATAATTTAATCATGCCGGTGTTCTGTGTGCATTTATTGACCATAAAGCTCCTCTGTTGGTTGAAAAGGGAACATTAGACACAAATCTAATCCCACAGACCCACAAGCTGCTCAATAACAGCAGATACTCTGTTTTGTATATCTGTCATGACCGGAGGGATACGTGTACGTTAATGTCACTGCAGGGAGGCAGAGCTTGGTGTTGTGTCT